CATAAATCACTTTAAATCCATGAGTTTTGTGTAACTTTGGCCATAATTTATAAGCTTTCTCAGGCATTATTTCCACTTCTCAACTGGCAGATTTGTGAAAAATCTTCTCAAGTGTTTAGTCTGCTATATTGAGATGTGTGAAAACCTTACTTTGTTTTTGTTTGTTTTTTTGTTTTTTAGAGAGAGGGTCTTGCTCTGTTGCCCAGGCTAGAGTGCAGGCACGTGATCATAGCTCACCGAAGCCTTGAACTAGGCTCAAGTAATCCTCCTGCCTTAGGCTCCCGAGTGGCTGGGACTACAGGCATACACCACCACACCCAGCTAATTTTTTAATTTTTTGTAGAGACAGGGATCTCACTTTGTTGCCCAGGTTGGTCTCGAGCTCCTGTCCTCAAGCAATCCTCTTGCCTCAGCCTCCCAAAGTGCGGGGATTACAGGTGTGAGCCACCATGCCCAGCTGGTTTCTTTACTTTTCCGTTTTTACATCATTACTAGTTTGAAAGGCTGTTCCTTCTCTCCCTTGTTTGCAAGTATCTTGCAGAAATAATGTTAGTGACAGAATTTGGACTGAGGCATCTGGCCAGTATTGTGATCCATGGTTATCCAGAACAAATGCCTACAAGATTATTCCTTTGTAAGGAAAAGAAGAAAGGGTAAGCCATGCTGACTAAAGAAGACAGAATAAGGAATTCAGAAACAAATAGTATCAAGGTCAAAAGGAGACTGATGGTAAATGACTAGCTTAGGGCCCAAGGTTGACATCCCATGTTCAAGTTTGTCTTCCCTGCCTCTTCCTCTGCTTTCCCTACTCATTCCCTCCTCGTTCACTTGAGATGTTTCCTCAGTCCTCCCTTTATTGCTGCGCTATCATTTTAAGAATCCTGGAAGACTTGTATTCTGTCCTTTGCAGACAAAATACCTTGAGTAATTGCTGTGAAATCAGCCATTTGAACCTGCCTCTGAATCTCAGGTGACATGTTACCCCTAATAGGAGGGGAGAGAGGGGAGGGTTGTGTTTATGGGCTTTCTTTTACCAATCAAATGAAAAGATGAAAAGGGCTGCTTCTTGTTCAGAAAATGTCAGATGATATTCAGGAAAAAAAGAATATTTTTGGTGTGGTAGAAAGAATTTCCCAATAGTCCTAAAAGAACACTATGTACTCTGCTACTTGCTTAGCCTTCACTTAGAGTTGACCCTGACCAAAAGGAGCAGAACAAGTTAACATCAGTGCAACTGGCACAGATAAGCTTAAGTATCTCTAAGGCTCTGCAAAAAGGAAAAATAACTTCAGGAACCCCAGGATCCTTTTCTCTTCTCTTTGGAAGAGAAAATAGCTGCAATCATACTTAATATGTTTATTAAAGGTGGTTTGAATTCACCTTTCCTAAATGCAGGAATTATTTCAGAAATAAGGCTTCTAATCCCATGTCTTCCACTGAATGTTTATGTAAGTAACCATTAGGGGCTTTGTGTTCATGTCTGAAAAATGTCAAGAGTAGACAGGACTATTGAGCCCCAGTATTGTGTGCAAGTATCTGATTTTACACATATGTATTTTAATAAAAAGCAACATGACACTTGATACGTATTTAGACTTCAGTACAAAACCTCTGTATATATATTTTGAACATCTTTGGACTTATAAACAAGTCATGGCTGAGGAAAGTCATATTTTGTATTAATGTATTCTTGAAATTTCAGATAGTACATGCTCACAGATGTAAATTTTATGTATATATAAACAAATATTTATTGAGCACCTATTATGTGCCAGAACTTGTGCTAGAAATAAGCCCAAAATACACATTTCCTACCACTCTTTTTTCAAGCCTGTGGCTGTGAAATCAAACTGCTCCCATTTGCAACTATTTACCTATGGATCTTGGGATTTCATCAAGACTGTGCATCCAAAACAAAATAAAAAAGTAAATTGGTACTAGGACCAATACAAGACTCCATGTATCATCCTCAATGCTCAGTCTCAATTACTGGGTTCATAAGAATAGCCTTATTGTTCTTAGCTATCAATTTTGATAGTAAGTAACTATCATTAATTTGAATTGATAAAACAAAGTCAAAGAGAAGCCAGGCATGGTGGTGCACGCTGTAGTCCCAGCTACTTGGGAGGCTGAGGCAGGAGGATAACTAGAGCCCAGGAATTTGAGGTTGCAGTGAGCTATGATTATGCCACTGTACTCCAGCCTGGGCAACAGAGCAAGACTCCATCTCTAAGAAATAAAATAAAGTCAAAATAGTAAAATACTTTTTGAAAACCTATTTAATATGTTAGAGATTGCTCTTAAGACTTTAATCATCAAAAATGTGTTCTATGGCTAAAAATATATAATCAACAAGATGCCTTCCAAACATAGAGTTTTAAATTATACCATTTCATATTATTTCACTTCTGCGATGTCCTTGTTTACCTTGTCTACCATTGATTCAATCAGCAAATACATATTGAACATCTACATCTGGATGAGATATACATGAGAATGCATTAGAGACCTTGGCTTTAAGAAACATATAAAATGATGGAGGGCTAAGACAAGGGCACAAATAACAGAATCAGGTAAGCATTGTAAGAGACTCTTACACAGTGTCTACAGGAAGAGAGTCCTAATTCTGTAGATTCAAGGATACCTTCGAGGAACTGATTCTGGGGGCACAAACTCTTAGCAGGTTGCAATGGAATATTATTCAGCCTTAAAAAGGAATGAAGCCCTCATACGTGCTACAACATGGATAAACCTTGAAGACATTATGCTAGGTGAAATACACTTGTAAACCAGCCACAAAAAGATAAATATTATGATTCCGCTTATATGAGGTACTTAGAATATTCAAATCCATGAATATAGAAGGTAGAACAGTGGCTACCAGGGGCTGGAAGGAAGAAAAATGGGGAGTTATTGTTTAATGGATATAGAGTTTCAGTATGGGATGGTGGGAAAAGTCTGGAGATGGGTAGTGGTGGTGGCTGCGTAACAGTGTGAATGTACTTCATGCCACTGAACTGTGCACTTAAAAATGGTTAAAATGGTAAATCTTAATGTTATATATATTTTACCACGATAAAAGAAAATCTCTTATCAGGAATGAAGAATATGGTTCTGATCTCAGGCTTCCCATAGTTTAACAGTGAGGTTAATGTTCTCTTTGTGCTCTTAACTTTCCCTCCTAAAAGTGAATGGGCATGTTCATGCCTTTAGAGAAAGTGTAAGGGTATCGTGAGACCACTAGTTAGCACCCTGTGTGGATGCACACTGTGGCAATTTTATGCACACTTAAACATAGAGAGTCCTGACCATTCACCTTCCATCTGCAACACCATCAACATAGGAAACAATTCTTGATGGGAATAACAAGTGATCTTTTTGCCCAATAGTCAGATTCAGAGGTCGTTTCTGCACAATATAAATCATCTTAAAGAAAACATTATTTTATTCCCTATCTCTGTATATTTGACTTTTTTTTTCTCTTAGATTCCACATGTGACATCACACAATATTTGTCTTTCTGTCTGTCTTATTTCACTTAGCATAATGTCCTCCAGGTTCATTCACATTGGGGCAAATGGCATGATCTTTCTTTTTTAAGGCTGAATAATATTCCATTGTATATATACGTGTGTGTGCGCGCGCGCGCGCATGCACATGCTACATTTTCTTCATCCATTTGTCTGCCAATGGATAGTTAGGATGTTTCCATATCTCAGCTGTTATGAATAATGCTGCAATAAACATAGAAATACAGGTATCTTATGGGATAGTAATTTCATTTCCTTTGGCTATCTACACAGAAGGGGCCTGCTGGGTCATATGCTAAATCTATTTTTAATTTCTTTAGAAACCTCCATACTGTTTTCCACAATGGCTGCACCAGTCTGCATTCTCACCAACAGTTACCAAGAGCGGTGGGGTGTGGGGAGGAAATGGGGAGATGCAGGTCAAAGGATACAAAGCAGCAGATATGGAGGATGAACAAGTGTAGAGACCTAATGGACAGCATGAGGACTAGAGTTAACAAAACTGTATTGTGTTAGGGATTTTTGTTAGATAAGTAGATTTTAACTGCACTTGTCACCAAAAAAAGTAACTGTGAAATGGTAAATACGTTAATTTGCTTCAGTATACTAACCATTTTACTATCTATCTATCTATATATATATCCCATAATATCATGTTGTAAAGCTCAGATATACACAATAAAATTTAATTTAAAAAGAGGAAACTATTCCATGAAATTTCTACATAGCCAGATATCAAGGAATGCCTGAACCTCGGATGGTATTGTCTGGTTTCCATTCAATCATTAGTTATAAGATAGAATCAAGCCAAGGAAAGCTAACTGATGACTTATTTTGCCATTTAAAAAACCAAGTGTGCACTCTTGCTCCTCTTGGCTGGTCAGTGACACTGGGACTTAAATAGGCATTTCCATGCCACCAGGGAAATGCACAAAGTGAGCCTAATTGCTGCTAAGTACCTTCAGGGCACCCTTTGAGAAGCCACAGTTAGGGAACAGCGCAGCCTAGGGGTCACAGCCCAGGCTGTTCTCGGGGTCATGGTTCTTAGGGCTGAGGCTCTTCAAATGACCATCCTGTACCCTTGAACACGCCGCATATAGATGACACAGAAAAAATCACGAAAATATCACTACTTAATATTACACTTCAAAATGTGAGGGAAGGAAAACATAAACTACCAAGCCTTTCAAATTGTCCTGCTTGCTCCCTCTAATGCAAAAAGATATGTGTAAATTTATATAAATAGTAACTTCATGGTTTAAAATAGAGATTTATTTACCGGAGATAAGATATAACACTGTAAAGGAAATTTAATACTTCCAAAAGGAAATCGGATCCTCACAAGACTGCATTATTTTACAAAACTTTGTAAGAACGCCAGCACGTTAGTCGTTGCCCAGGGAGTAGCTGGACATGAAAGCCATGTCTCAAATGACAAATCAGAATCTTTTTTTTTTTTTTTAATATCAGAGCAGAATACAAACCAGAGAAACTTCCTTCACATTCCTTTGAGGTTGACCATGAAGATGCTGATAAGGATGAAGTAAGTCAATTGCTGAAAGTGAGATGTTTAAAACATGAGGATAATTAGTTCCTGTCTTTGCTAGAGTGTTTCACGTTCTGACCAGTTTTTCATAAAGTTGTAGTAGCTGTTCGTGTTGGGGTTTTTAGTCAGAATGAATCAAGTTTGCTTTGAAATGGAACATGATTATTTAAGATGAGTCAAAGAGAGGAAAAGGAGTCTTTAAATGCAGTGTCTAGGATGTGGGACCCACAAGAGATGGCTGTGATGCTAATGATGCCTTTTGTTCAGGATACTACATCCCACTCATCCTCCAAGGGCGGTGGGGGAGCAGGAGGAACTGGAGTTTTCAAGTCTGGTTGGCTCTACAAGGGGAATTTTAACAGCACCGTGAACAATACCGTCACTGTTCGGGTAAGGAGACAAGACTCATCTTTGTCTCCGTCACCTTTCTTGACACCCCCTCCTTCGGTCACAGCACACAGGAGAACCATTTCTATTGAGTTTATGTTTTGTGTAATATTTTACTTCTGAAGAAGTAGGCTGCTCTTCTCTAGAACAGTGCCCTAGTAATGTTGCACTCCTGAGGCAACTGGAACAATTCTAATTTCCATGAGTAATAGCACACTGCAATCTGAACTACCTCCTTCTATCTTTTCCTTTATTTAGTCATTCAAAAAGCGCTACTTCCAGCTGACTCAGTTGCCGGATAACTCCTACATTATGAATTTTTACAAAGATGAAAAGATATCCAAAGAACCCAAAGGCTGCATCTTTTTGGATTCTTGTACAGGTGTGGTACAGGTGAGTAGAAATCCTTTTCCCCCTTGGGATTTATTTTTTTAATTTGGAAAGTGTATTCAACAAATATTTATGGAATATCTGATATGAGCCAAAAATTGTTCTAGGCTGTAGGGATTCAGTGAGGAAAAGGCAGCCTAGATCTCTGCTTCCACAGAACTTATTTCAATAGAGAAAGAAAAACAAGAAACAAGCAAAGGAATAAATAAACAGAATGGAATGAGTTGGTAAATTTCATGATAAAATAAACAGAGTAACAGAAGGGAGTGAGACAAGTGGTGAGGTTAGAAATGCATGTTAATAGACAACAAGTGAGAAGAGCATTTTGAGGAAAGACCATTTGATCTACAGACTAAAGAATGAGCAGAGACAGCAAGTGCAAAGGTCCTGAGGTAGGAGCAAGTCTGATACATTCAAAGAGGAAGATGAGCACCAGTGGGACTTCAGTGTAGAGATCCCCTGAACTGAAGAAATTCAGTAAAGTAATATGTAAACCACATAGTATCACAGTATGCACTTCATAAGTGTTATCTTTACAATTAGGTAATAATAACAGAGTAAATTTACAGTGTGCATATGTCAGCTTTTAGTCTGAAATGTCGGTTCATAGTGCACTCATGGCAGAAGAATGACCAGACACACCAAAGTAAGGCAAGCAGGAAAATGAGGTTTATCGAGGAGACAAAGGTAGGATTATAGGGCAAGAGCAAGATATAGGTTTGCAGAGCATGATACATACGCCACAGATGACAGCCAGACCCATTGTCGCAGCAAAGGGAAAGCAAGAGGAAGGGCACAAAAAAGGGCCTGGTTATGGTCTGCATCTTGTTTTATAGCGCCTGGATTGGGACCTCCCTGTGGGTCAAATGTCACCATGGAGCCAGTTTGATTGGACATTTGGGAGATGTATGACCTGACTCTTACTGCACATGCTGATCTTCCATGAGTCTCTCTGAAAGCCCATTTTGGGGGGGTGAATCCTGGTAGCACCCACTTTCTTCCCTAGGAGACCCGGAATCCCTCACTAACTACCTAACACATACACATCATCTTTTTTCTAAGAGGAGCTTTTCTTCAAAGACAAGGATTACATTGATTCCCAAGAGTTTAATTTCAGAAACAGACATAGTGCTTTTAACAGGTAATGTTCTACAAGCTCTCTCCGTCTTCACGTTATTCTCTTTAGTATTAAATTTGCCACAGGCCACCATGACAAAGAGAAGCAGAATAATTCCATAGACCTCAGCTGGACATCTTGCTGTCAAAACATTTATTCTTTCTATTCTAATGAAATAACTCTCCTTGTTCCCTCTTAAGTAAAAATTGAAGCAATCAAGCATTTTAACAATCTCCCCTCAAATTTCACAACCTCACTCTGGCTCATGGAAGTTGAGGACTCCATTTCTGGTCACGGGCCGTTACAGCAATACTTTCTGTTGCCACTAACCCTCAGCACTCTCCTGGCTTGTTACTAGCTGAGATTACATCTGGGGGCGCTTGGATGTGTGGATGCCAGTAGAGTTCTCTCCAGTTAGTTAGTTCTGGGCTATTTCTAGACAGTTCATCTATTAAAATCTGGAATTCTTCCAGGAAGTAATAAGGCCGAACTTTAAAAGGAAAGAATTAATTAAGTATTGCTGAGCACTCTACTAGCAGCGAAAGATAATTGCATTTTAACACAGATGCCAACTTTCCTTATGGAAAGGGCAATGATGACCTTAATGGAGGGCGGAGATGGTTTTCTATTGTTGGTCACAAAGGAGCCTCTTTGGCCTTAGAAATATGAAGTAAAAGTGCAGCAGCGAAGATCAATAACTACATTTTATAGACACCGAGCTGAAAAATTTAAATATTTTCTTTTCCATTTGTACTTCAAAGCTTTCTCTGGCAAATGAGTCATTATTTTTTTTAAAGAAGTATCGTCGTAGTTCTTTGTTATGTATGAAGTTTGCGGAGATACAGTCTAGTGTGCAATATCTTTCTTCTTCAAAGAATCTTCAAAGAATCATAGGACTCAATGTTGGACACACATTTTAGGGCCATAATCTGACTATCCACTATAGGAACCTTCTCTCCCATAATCTGTGACTTAGACCGTGTTTCAGTCTCTGCTTAAACATTGCCTTAGAATTTAGAAAGAGTCTTATGGGGCAAACACAAGGTTGAGATTCATGCAGGTCACTATTCAAATCCTGGTTTTACCATTTAGTATTGAAGACTTTGAGTAAGCCACTCAACCTTTTTATCTCAGTTTCCTCATCCGTAAAACTAGACTAAATGTGCTAACATGTGAAAAGCACTGAGAGATAGGGTGGTCAACGTTTCTGCCGTAGTTCTTCCATTAATTACAAAACTCACAACTTTAAGAATATAGACATTCCATTGTGGGAAAGCCTTCCAAGAAAATCTTGACCCACTTTCCTAAAATTTTTACCTCAATGTACTAATTTATCTAATTCCTTCTTTATTCATTAATTCATTCCACAACCTTATTTAGTACCTACAACATGCTAGAAGCTGTGCTTAGGCATAGGGGATTCAATACCTTGTTGAAGTCAAAATCAGAGAGGGACTAGCTATAGGCTCACTATGGCACAGTGTCACAAGAGCTACAGAGGAGGTATGAATGGCAGAATCCATGGAGTGTTCTGGGAGCACCGAACAGTGAGGAACTCTTCTAGGTCAGGCTGCAAGTCTGTACAAAAAAGCTGTGGCTGTCTATAGGATTCCCAAGGTAGATTTTGCATATATATCTTTTTAAGGTTTCAGGCCTGTCCCTACATTTATGTCCCTCTTTATCAAGAACTTTTATCCAGTATGTTCTACATCCTTTATAGAGGCAGAGACCAGCTTCTTGAGATTACTTTGGGAAGACAGACATCTGGGTCATTTGTCACTTTGTGTGTGGGTCCCAGATCTTACATATTGGCTTACAGCTTGTTCTGCTTTGTAAGATTTTCCATCTGGAAAGATTTTCGAGGGAGATAATGCAAGTTTAACCATTGTTCTAGTAAGCACTCAAGCACAAAATGTGACTGAAGCTGAATCACATACACAGAGCAAATGAATAACTGGGATGAGTCAGGCCGATTTTGTTAGGAACCATTACCAATATGCATTGAGCAAGGCAAAAAGAGGAACAAAGTCTTTGTTTCAGAAAGTGCTACCTTTTGTCCAGCATTCGTGAGCAGTTCAAGTTCATAACAGTCTTTAGTGAATATGCCATTTTAGTTTGCCTCATTCAGACCCAATCCATATCATTGTTTTCCTTAGAATAATTCTCGGAATTCTCATACATGTATTATAAGGGTGACCTCAAGTAGAGATAAACTATTACTCAGCTTTCTCAGACACTTTAGGTGATGTTTATGATTGACAATTTCTTGGATCCTGGCAAAAATAAAGGCTTAGCCATAGTTTTCCACTTGTTTGTAACATCATCAAACAATATTCAGTCTGTTTTAGAGGCCTATTCTCCCAGTCTGGAGCAGAACTTCCAGTTTTGGCTGCTTCAACTTTTTCCTGGGACTAAGGGCTATTTAGGTCTGTGTTAAGCAGTTTTGCTCCTTCAGAGTTCATTCATTCATTCATTCATTCTCACATCCATCCATCCATCCATTCATCCATTCCAGGTTCTACCACTGTGGCAGAGAATGAATGGCCCAAGAATCCCATCTGTCTCGGGTCTCTATTTCAGTGGTGATAATGGCTGATGTCACTAGGTAAAGGCTTAAATGGGGATAGGCAGAGTGCCAGACACTGTTTATTTCATCCTAGGTGCTGGGTCTTGGAACCATGTGGATATGGGTTCCAAGACAATGGCTTCACGTAAGCAACCAAAGGCTAGAAGCTCAAATACCTTCCACAGGTCAAGCAGGCCACTGAATGAATGAAGTGGGGCCAGGTATGAGAAATCAGGGCATCTTGGACTGTGTAGACCTGAAGTATGCATGCCCACAGAAATCCAGTCAAGTTGGGGGCAAAGAAGAGGGGAGAACCTTCCAAGGAAAACAAATCTGGAAGCCAAATATGACCTCTAAGCCTCCCGTTAGCAAACTCTGGTTCTAAAGATCTCACTTCCCAGGATAATAACAACCAAAATGATACTTGTAATTTCCTTCATCTAATATATTATTTGAAAGTAGTTGATGGAATATGCATTATAATTGTCCCCATTTATTCAAATAAAACTCAGAGAAATGGAGTGGCTTTCCCAAGCCACAGAGGTAATAAATGACAAAATTAGATTTGAGACAGAGGCATATCCAAGATTACAGAAAGATACCCAAGGAACTGCTGTCTTTATCATACATAAAGTGGGCATACTCACACATATACATACATTTATCCTACATAAGCCACGTGGGCAGCAGAAACACTACAAAGATATGCTCATGTGCAGCTTTCAGCAGTGAGTGTTAGATGTAGAATTTACTTAAGCAAATACTGTATGTATTGGAAAACTTGTGATGTGTAAAGCATTGTGGAAAGGCCAAATATGAAAATAGATGTGGCTTCTGTCTTCGAAGACCTTCTAGCCTGTGAAAAGAATGCCAGAAAAAACAAAACAGTTATGGTATAGGGAAATAAAACACACATAGCACACCACAAACAGTAAGTCCTGATAACATATGCAAAAATAAAATTACACTTATCACTGCATGATGCTATATTATATTACACGTAGATTATATGCAATATTGTCTTTCTGCTTATCTGTTTACTGATAGATACTCCATTAACCCGGAGTGTAAGTTCAATGAGGGAAAGCATTTTACTTGAATTTTTTTCAGTGCTGTATGACTGGTACATGGGAGATACCCAGTAAACTTTTTCTGCATGAATGAACGAATAAACCTACAAAGAGTAAACAGGATTGTGTGGAGGGTAGCTACGAATACCTAACCTAGATTTGATGGTATATGTTTTCTTTTAAAACTCTTCTTTTTTTCCTGCAAAATTCTGTAAAAGATGCAAGGAAAATAATAGGTATGGAATGGATATTTTGTTTGGGTAACTTCCCTCTTCGTTTCTCAGCCTTCCATTGGCTTTTCCGGTTTTCTTGGAGTATCTATAATTTGGAACTTTTTCGAGGACCATTGTGCGAGGAAAACAGTTTGTCACAATTCATTAAATGCGTCATATGGCGGTAGGACATATTCGCAGGTTCCCGTTATCTGTGAAGTCATGGAGATGGACTGCAGTAAGCTTGACTGAACAAAGTGGTTGCGTTGGCTGCAGAGGACACTGATTTAAGGGAAATAGAGGAAAATTGGAAGAGTAGAAGGAAGATGATTACTTCTTGATTACCATTTTAATGACTTAACAATTGCACTTCAAAATTATTAAAATGTCTCATTGATTTTCTATTTTTGTCCTCTCTTTTTTGCTGTTCCATATGCCCTATCTTCAAGATTACAGAGAGTGAGATAGAAAACCACTCAGGCATCTTAATCTCTCCCAACATAAGCTTCTCTATGCTGCAAGTAATTCTTTTCTCTCAAAATAGAAAAAGATAATTTAGTTTTTGAGAAGTTGCAAATAGAATATTTATTTTACTTATAAAGTCCCTTTTTGTGAAACAAGAGCTTGTGATACTTTGCTCAAAAATTTTAAAAATATTTTTGATAACATTTTTGAAGCTGGCAGCCACATTCAAAACTCATTTGAAGTACAGATGCAATTTAGAAAATTGACTTTTGTTTATATTTCGTAATGTTTTATTTCTAAAATTTTAATAATTTTTGGCATCTTCACTTGAAAGCAGGGCACGATCTACCACTGCCTCTCTGGCTACCCCCGCCCCACACACACACACACACTCTCTGTTTACACTGCAGTCAAAATGATCTCAACATGCAACTCTGACCTTTGACTTGCCTGAATCGTTCTGTTCTATGCTCTCA